TAAATTCGTTAGCATAGCTAGCTAACCAGATGCTAATAACAACAGATCGCCACTGGGCTTACAACTAAAGACACAGCCACGCAAACACTGCGGCATGTGTACGGCTCCTTATGGGTACTGCAATATTTGAAGAGCTGGAGCGGCGTTCCGGTGCTCCGTCAGCACTCTAGTCTACACTCCTTTCAGACGAGATATATACCACGTGAATACACGTTACTAGTTTGCATCACTGTACAATAATCAGACTCACTGTCTCCAGCTTCAGGATGTGTGTTGTTAGTGTCTGGGCTTTCTTCTCTTGGTCCATCTACTTGGTCTTCATTTCCTTCACTGAGAGTAGGCGGGCTTATCGTTTCTGATTTTTTTTCCCCAGTGTGATGTTCTCCTGATACAATTAGGAAAGATTAAAGGTAGGGTAGGTAATTCACTTCAGAAACCCTTGTTATTATATTCCATGGAATGCTCTTAACATCCCGATAGCAATGAATACGTTAAATGCTTTGACAATAAATACATTAACAACATTTCATCTGTGGAAGCCGTGGCGCTGTAAAAAGCACGACCAATCATTTTAGCCGGCCCGGCTAAAATAACAGGATGGCCTACCTGCCTGTCAGCCTTCCATCTGTGCACAAACTTATCTCGTGCCCTCATTGGTCATGTGCGCGTTCATGTTTGTTGGAGGAGGGGCTCTGTAAGGAAGTCTGAAGGAAGAGGCAGATTTTTTCTGGTTGTGTATTTTCAAATTCTAGCGCACTGGAGCTGGTTTCTTTCATTTCATTTCATTCTTACCTACCCTAACATGCTCAGCAATGTTCGAGACAGTTTCTTTACAGTTGCATTAAGAGTGTGGGGTATAACAAAAAAAGGTCCAGTGTGACGAGAGCTGCCTTTTTAATCTTACATTGAAAATATATCAACTTTTAGCTCAAACCTGAATATAACAAGGGCATTAACACTATTAAGCAGCTACTGAATAAAGCACTAAAAGCAACAGTGTATTGTGTTGAACTGTTGGAGGAGCCTGCGACCTTAGAATTTCATTGTCATAACTACACTGTTGCTATGTACATATGACAATAAAAGCCTTGAATCCTTGAATGTAAAACATATGCAACCACAGCAAATATTATTGCTATTAAAAAGCAAAAAAGGACTTCAGCATTTGTATATCATATTTCAACAATACTTCCGAGATGATTTTTTAATGGCAAATGTAAGTGGGAACGTCACCTCATTGCACATAATGAAACACACTACAAGTACTTCATAGAGCACGCTATAAAAAGAAAAACTTGTACACACTACTCCTAATGGCACTTGTTAGAGGTTTGTATCAAGCTATCCCAAAAGTGAGTAATATGTCTCTCAACGTGTTGTAACTACAATGGATAATGAAGTCAGAATAATAATAATAATAATAATAATAAATTATATTTGTAATTGTATTGTAAATAATATACCTATTTTGTATCTCTTATGGATGTCAATTGATATTTTGTATACTTTCTGTGTGTGCTGTATTTTTGAGTGTTGAGCACTGCTGTTTGTTATATGTGGAACATCAATACAAATATTTGAATAATAATGTTTCAAATTCCTACCTAACCTTACCTGTTTTATTTTCATTCCAGATCTGGTATGTGTTCTGCCCTGTTTGCTTTTTTCTTAGCATACTTTTTGCATCAAATTAATTTGCAAATCCTTCCCATTGATTATTGTAGATGACACATTAAAACTGACACAACATCGGGTTCAGTGCAAAAAAACAATATCGGTTGTGTTCACATCCTTGTCGCATGTTCAAAGTCTCAAGGTATGTAGTTAAACTGTCAAAAGGGAACGGCTAAGGGCAGTCACTTATTTCTCTTTATAACATTTAAACCTTCCCTTGTTTTCAATTAACAGTGGTTTGACTCCGTAACATATCAGGCTTCCAATTGTAAAAACTGTTAGCACAAAAAAATAATCAACCTATAACTCAAAGTTGAAAACATTGAAAAGTCTGTTTTGAGTGCCCCGAGGTGTACTGAATAACATCTGGGGGTACATTTAAACTGAATTTGTTGTGTTCTAGCAGACACTGTAAGCAAACCGATAATAGTTGTTAATAGGGCAGCTAGCAAAACTTGTTCAACAGTAATGAAACTAATTGGAATATATGTACGAATATTCAAATGTAAACTGTTGATAGTCGATGAAAGAGTTTACTGTGCAAATCAAACAGGAATTGGGAAATTATGTAAATGAAACACTGATAATAAACTAGAGTTGTTAGTCTCTAGGTTTGTAGCTGCGGGTAACGAAGCTGAATCTTGTTAGGTGAGACAGACAACATATTAGTTAGTTCAGAGGATGCAGGGACATATTTGGTAAATACACATTACATAATTAGATTATTTTTGACCTTGCTTGCATATCTTACCTTTTGAGATAATCTGCTTTTCATCAGGATCCCTCTCCTGTTTGTAGTTACATGGTAAAACATCACGATCCAATATAGGCTGTGTTTCTCCTTCCTTCCCTTCTGATAAAAACAAATCAATGATGAACTATCGTGTACCGGTAAGTGTAAAAACTGTTGTATATGTATGTAAACATTTTAGCCCACCATAACTAATATCTGGCCTTTGTCATTGGTGTTTCAGTACCTGCTGTGTGCTGGTGGTCTGGGTCTTGCTCTGCCATGTCTGTGGATGGGGCAACTTTACTCGAAGGATGGTTCAAACCTGCATTGAAATAAATTGGTATATAGAAATGTTGTTGTTATGGTAAGACCTGAGCACATTTATTATTTATTGACAGATTAGAAAGTCCAAAGTCTCTAGTGAACCTGCCAACGGGTAGCTTTAATATTCGTTTCTGGTTTCTCAATTGCATTCATTCAATTAATTTAAACATAGACATAGGAGACGACTTAACTTTAAGTGCGTTGGTAACATTAACCTCTACCAAAGGTTGCCTCTTGTAAGCTATGCCCACACTTCAGAGAGAAATTAATGGTCACTTCAGTAAGACTTTATCTCTGGCACTAGCTTATACCTCGTCACATACATATATCTGCTTGCGTTGGAAATGTATCGACAACATTATGCCAATTGTTTGTTATAACCAAGGTCTGTATAAAATAGGTAATAACCTGCCCAGGGACTACACATGTACATTAGCTCAAAAGCTAACTCAGGTGCATTGGTACACAATAATGACTAGTGTGTCAATTAATAAATAACACGCAAAGCTTCCGATAAGATGAGACAGCACATACAAACACAAACAATTTACTTTTGAAACTCGAAGTTGGAAAAAGGTAATATAGATGTTTCGAGTTCAACGCGAGTTGCTAAATAATACCTGGTGGCCCTACTGAAATTGCTGTAAAACTACCGACATTTTTACGTTAAAATATATTTAGATAGTTAGCAGCAATGTTAGCAGCTTAGCTTGAAACACAACTAATAGAAACCTTTACTTACGAATATTTAAAATTACGTCAACCGTTGAGCAACTTTAGCTAGCTAACGAGTCAACTGACAGAGAGATGCTGGCTTATGTGGTTTACAAAACAGTTAGCAACATCTGCCGTCGTGTAACTTAAATCACCTACATATATGTTTAATAGTTTAATCCAATTACTCATTCTAAAAAAACGTACCTGTGATCACATCTGTCCAGCAAAACGCTTCCTTATACTTTACGTTACGTCCGTCGCTCTGACAGATCACAACATTCAGGCGGAACGTTCAGCAGTGCTCATGTTTCCATGGAGATAAAGAGAATGTGGCGCTTCCGGGCATCAACGGCGTACTGTCAGAAAATGGTTCCCCTAACAACTTACGGGAAGTCCATCGTTTATCCGTATGTGAAACTCGTATTGACTCTGATGTTTTTGGCATCGCTTTTGTTGTCATTATAAATGGATTCCAGGGTTTCTGAAATTAAGGAGCCTCGCCTTCTGAGGCGATCGGTTAGGCAGTCATCGGGTAACGTTAGAGGTGAGCAAACTGACTGTTGTGACAAAAACGGTTAGCTCCGCTAGCTTAGCATTTGAAGCTAAATAACTATTAGCTGAAATAAGCTCACTGAAAGTTCAACGGCAAAACCCGTTCAATGACTGATATTACCAACGTTAGCTGACTTAAATTGTGTGGTCGATCCTTAAACTAGGAATAGAGAGGAATGGAGCTGCACTTTTACATGTTGAAAGTTATTTCAAACTTTGTTCAATCCAACGTCCAAGTAGTTGGTTGACTCATTCCCACAATGTATTTCTGATCCTTCTTTAGCATTGGATTTTGAACTGACACCCAGGGGACCTCTGAAGAGGACCAGAAGAGGGATGAAACCCCAAAGTCCTGTTAAAGCTGTCAATGGGTCCAGAGATGAGGAGTGTGACTCAGAGGATGAAGGTGGGATGCTCCAAAGTACAGTGTTTGCCTAACGTTAGTCATACATAGTTTGTACTGGCCATGTTTGAAAAACTAATTATTTTATTTCCTATATGACAGTATCCCCGAGCAAGAAGAGCCGGCTGGAGGATGGAGGAGCAGAGGACAGCTGTGGTGATGCGAATGAGATGGAGGTTCAGGAACCTGATGATGATCAGGACACAGATGAAGACCAGGGAATGGATATTATACAGCAGTCCTCTCATGCCTCTCATCAAGTACAATCAAACAAAGGTTAGGTCTGTTTTTATATTCTTATATTTTCAATATCTCAGTCAGCCAATTTATTTTTCATCCAATTTAAGAAGAAAACAAAATCCTTCAGATGTTCCTTATCCATAAGTGACACCCTAGTAGTGTTTGCTTTGTGCAACCAATAGACAACCATTTAAACGTGTTTTGTAACTATAGTATAGAACTAAAAATAGCTGCAAATTCACAAAGTTATAAACATCAACCAATTTAAAATGAGTTAATATTAACCAGTTATTAAACTTCTTTAAACCTTTTTTCATGATCAACTTTATAATAAAGGGACTAGGTGTTTTAGCTTAATGATAATCATATGTAATTCAATTAATATTGACTTACTCTGTTATTATTTAGCTATGCAGGTGCCATCAAATGACAAAGGAGGTATCCTGGTTTACTCTGATTGTTTTACTCTGACGTTATTAACCTTTAATTCATAGGACTTCTTTCCACCATCAGATTTAACACAGGGCAGGTTTTCTCTCTTGTTCCTTCAGGCGCCCTTGGAGATATGAATTTATCCCCGTGTGTTGTGCTCAAGGAGCTCCGCAGTCATGCTGTAAATAAAGATGCAGGTTGGATAATACCTAATAAAGGTAGGAGTGGCTCCTGCTGGCATGGCATGTGTGACTATGTGAATGTTAGTCTCCCTGAGCCAGTTGCACGTTGTATAGCTGCCTCTATATCAATGAGTGAATACTGACATGTATATGTAAAAGCACTTTGAGAGGTCATAAACAATGGAAAAGCGCTAATTAAACGCTGTCCATATATCTATCCCCTTGTGTAGGGCTGAATGAACTCCGCAGTCGTGCTGTACATGGAGATGCAGAACGGATAAGAACAAAGACAGGTGGGAAAAGGCTTGAGCTTCATTCTGCATAGGAATGATTACATCAATGTCGGATCAAACTAATATGGCTTGTTTGTATTTTCAATTAAATCTTCAGCAAAAGGACCTGAAGCTCCCGCCAAGTCTTCCGCACAAATCAGACCACCGGTAAACAGACGCGATGTACCTTTCCCAAAGGTCACCAGCATGGACGAGTACAGGAAGACGTTGGAAGCTAAGGCCAAAAGCACTGGTAAAAAGGACATTTTTACTCAGCCAGATTTCACAGAATTGAAAGATGCATTGAGCACCTGTCCAATTGATGTACCTCTCTAAAAAGAATCACATTTTTACATCAACATGTTCTAACTCCCCTTTAGGTATACCTGCAGTTAACCATCACCAGAGTGTGTACCCAGCCTCGGAGAAATCCTGCACAAGACAACGTGCGAATAATATCCCAACACAAAAACAAACCGTTCAGCAGAAAAAACAAGGTATTGAAGCCTCAACTTAAAAAAAAAAATCCAGTTATTAGAAACATCAAGTGTAGATTGACATGTTTGGCATTCATTTAATGACATTTCGTTCTTTTACAAGTGAAAAACAAATCACTTGCTATCAAGAAAAGCACTGGATATTCCTGTAGCGGTAAGATATACACATTTAACGACATCATCAATACACCCAAAGATACTTGTTCTACATTCATTGCAGAACTTTAACATGGTCTTATTTCCTTCCAGGATTCATGTGGGGTTTATTCCGTTTTATTCTCGTGGCGCTGATCGGTTCGGCCGTCTTAGTGGCATGCAAGATCATCCCTGTAATGAAGAAGAATGCAGATGGTAAAACGCACCCACCCAGGCCCGTAAAGCCGGATATTTTTGCAGATCAGCTGTCTCTTCTTCAGGCTCAGTTCCCCAGTCAGCACTCTGAGTTGTGGAGGAGAAGCAAGATCCACTTGGAGAAGCACCTGAAAACAGCGCAGCCCACAGAGCCGGTCAGTCTGATCTTTACTGCCGGCCGCGGGGCTGAGAAGACCCTGTCCTGCCTGGCTCAGAGGCTGGCCTCCTCGTACTCCTCGGCCCTCAACGCCTCCGTCCTCCACATCGACGGAGCCAGCAGAGCCAGCCACGACAGCGATGAGGTGAAGCTGGACATCGACAACCAGCTGCGAGCTGCGTTTGAAGGAGACAAACCCGCGGCCGTCATTCATCGCTTCGAGGAACTGCCTCCAGGCTCCACGCTCATTTTTTATCGCTACTGCGACCATGAGAACGCCGCCTACAAGCGCGTGTTTTTGTTGTTTACTGTGCTGCTTCCTCAAGATGAGATCATTGGGGACCAGAGTCTGAAGGAAGTGGAGGAGATGGTGCTAGAGTACGTCAAGGAAAAGCTGATTGGCTCCAGCAACGGCGCTTCTTTCAACGACATGGACATAGACAAGTTTGGGGGACTGTGGAGCCGCATCTCCCATCTCATCTTACCTGTGGTGTCTGAGAAGGAAGTAGAGCAGAAAGGGTGCTGAAGACTCCAGCTGGTCATCAACGAAGAAGTCCAGAAGAATTCCATTTTGGATCAGCCTGATTCTTCCTAGGACCGTACATTAGCTGAGACAGAGAAGTAACTTGTAAATATAATGTGTGGTGTTACATTTCACATGTAACCTTGAGTTCAAATGTTTGAAGGTTGTTTTAATCTCTCCGTCAGCAGTATAAGGTTGAAGAACTGCTCATGTTGTTCAGCACTGAGTTTTTACAAATGTACAAGCTTTTGAATAAGGATATGTACCATCGTTTCATTTCCCAAGTAGGTTATGAAATGCTCTCATCCAGGTTTAGTACAATATGTTTGATTGATTTGTTTTCTCCTTGTTCTGTGTCATTAATTGTTTTAACAGCACTTTGTTCCACAGCTTTTTAACCCATCTAAGAAGAGTATAGTGAAAGATCAGCGTGGATTACACTTCTTGGGATAGAAAATGTTTGTTTGAGGTGTAGATTCATATTTCTTGTTTTGTATCAAATCTCTCATACAGCTGATGGCTCACATTTATATATCTGTTA